GAGCCTGCATTGGGGTCCCTGCTCCGAGGGAAGCCTGCTTCTCCCTCTCCCACTCCCCCTGTTTGTGTTCCCTCTCTCGCTGTCTCTCTGTCAATTAAATAAATAAATAAAATCTTAAAAAAAAAAAAAAGGATCTCTTCTCAAAGTTTTCCTTGAGTTAACACCTAGGCATGTTACCTTTCAGAGGCTTCCAGGAGCAACACACCTAATTGAAAGAGGAACAAGCTTGTTGGCGGGTCTATTCTCACCCTCCTCCAAATTAAAGAGAGCACCAACTTTCTCAGGGTCACTTTGAAACAGCAGAGTCCCATGGTGGGTGGATCTCATGGAAGGAAACCTCAAATAAGAGGCAACTGTGTGTTCAGCCCTATCTCAGCAACTGTGTGCATGTGATCTAATTTAATTCTCACTGTATTCCTGGGGGGAGGTGCTATTCCCCTGTGCCAGAGGAGGAAATGGAAGTGGAAAGTCTGAGAACTTAGCAGGGCCACCCCGCTGCTGGGTGGAGAAATTGGGATCGTAAACAATGTGCTTGCTCCAAAACTGCCATCTTTCTACTCTCTTGCACCATGAGCTCAGCTGTTTTTTCTACCTTCAGGCAGCCTGACAAGTTTCGGGTTAGCCTGGGGCTCCCAGGATTTCCAGCTGGCTAGGGAATGCGGAAGTTTTTTGAGTTGACCGTCCATCATTTATATATGCAATATAATACATAAAATATAATGTACTATAATGTTATATATGATATTCTATACCATACGTTATACATAGAAATCTGTAAAACGTAATACAAATGAATATGTGATATATGTTATATGTATATAATTATAAACATAATTACTTTTGTACTTCATGAATACTACCAAGTAAATATAGATACACATTATTAGATTAATTTAACACTCAGTTTTAATTTTTTAATGTAGTTAATATGCCTATAAGTGTAACCATCATTAATGAAATTTGGGGGGCCTTACTGACTTTTAGGAGTGTAAAGGGGTCCTGAAATCTAGAAGTTTGAGATCCACTGCTCTAGGCTGAACTCTGATGTCTTATTTTCCCAACTGAGTTGGTAAGGACTTGAAGGCAAAGGTGTTAACCAGCACACGAACATTTTAATTTTTTTATTCTTCTGTCCTCTCTGTGGTTTGGGTCTTTCTGATCAGACTTACAATCTTCTTTAGGCTGCAAATCTCCGGAAGCTCTTTCCTGAATATTTTTTTCTCAGGCTGCCCTATATCATCAACCTCACAGTGGACCAAAGTGTTGGCCATTTACACTTGAGCAGGCAGCCCTGTGCAGCGGCTGCAATTATTAGCCTCATCCATTGGTGAGTCAGGAAGAAGCAGGTTTTAATCGCTCCCAGTGGGGGCCTGTAACAGGGTTCACGAATATCAGGTTAGCTACCTTCAGAAGCAGACAGAACCCTATTCTGGCATGGTAAAAGGAGGATCCCTACACCTGCTCCAGCAGCTCCTCTCACTGTCCTTGTGTATTTCTTGCTGTTCAAGTCTCTCTCCCCCACACGCTCTGTCCAGTGGCCATTATAGCCTTTTGGACATGACATTCAGCTCTGCATATTTAATTTTGTTCACCAGCTTTCCAGACCTGAGGAAGATGAAAGACAATTAGCCAATCCATAATATTCAGAATGTGTATAAATACAAAAATACACAGTTTATTGCATTGCAATATTTGTGTCCTCAGCTTATTGTTGGCTACCTTAAGGCCACCAATTTTGAGTGGGAAGACCACACCCTTGACCTGAATTTTTCCTTGGAACTAATTTTAATAGGCTTTCTGTTGTTCACAGGCTTGTTCAATCTTATTTCAAAGCCTGAGACTCCATGACACACCTACCAGATCTAAAGTTACTTTAAAGTCGACAGCCAAAGAGTTTTGTGTCTTCTGATTTTTAGAATGGTTTCTAAAGATTCTGATTTGGAGCACTTAGAACAAACCAACTAACCAGGTGTCAAAGTATAATCTTCAAGAAGTTAAAAACATGCGTCTCCTGCAAGTACTGTTTACAGCAGGCTCAAGCATGGGGCAAAGAACGATGTAAGTCATTAAAGAGGTTGCAAGCAAGATGACAAAGTTAGGTCAAGGCAGGATACAGGAGGATGAAATACCTATTCAGTCTGGAAAAGAAAAAATGCTGAAAGGCTGAATGAGTGGTAGTTTTTCAGATACAAAACTGGTTAATGTTCTATGAGGCAATGCAATCATTACTTTTAGGGTTATCTTTTCTGCTGGAAAGAGTTCATTTGCCTCTTGACTGGACAAAACCCTTATTAGAGTATCAATCTTCTACAAATGAATGTCTAATTTCACATACTGTGGACCTAATCAAAGAGTAAATATGAAGTCAGTTAACTTCTCGAAAGCTGGGCCATCTAGAATGGTAAGTAGTAGTCACCTGTGGCCAGTGAGCACCTGTAAGGTGGCTAGTCTGAAAGGGAATGTTCTACGAATGTAAAATACACTCGATTTGGCAGACTTGCCATTTGGGAAAAAGAAAAAGGAATATAACTATCTTATTTTTTTAAAATTTTGATTACATGTTGAAATTGTCATAGTTTGGATAGATTGAAGTAGAATATATTATTAAAATTAAATTCACTTGTTTCTTTTTACTTTTGTCAATGGGACTACTAGAAAACTTAGAATTACACATGTGACTCACATTCTATTTTATTGTAGAGCATTGCCTTAGAGCATCAAATGACCCAAATACTATTTTCTAATACAGCTTGGAAGGACACGAAGAAATAGTTTCCCCTTGTTTTTTAAGTTTTGGATACCTTTTCTCAACACAAGTTTCAGGGATCTGGAGACGGGTTATTTGTTTCTCTGCCTTCTGGCCTATACCATGCGGCCAGGAGGTTGGGAGCAAGACTGAGCGGCAGGTGTCCTAATGATTTGAGATCTGCACAACAGATTTGCACGTGGGGAGATGTGTTTTGATTGATTCAACCTGAGTGATCATATTAGAGAACTGAATCACAGTAATCAAACTTACATGTTGCTGTTTTATAAATCAGGACACCAGTTTATAGTGAAGGGAAGTCCAGTGACCTGGTAATCAAGATTTTCCACTGTTATTTTCCTGGTGGTAAAGCATACTTAACTGAATTTCAGATGCCTGTGGTGGGGGGGGGCGGGCCGGGGGGTCTCATTGTACAGAGAATCAGAGCGAAGTGCCATGTTCTTATTTTGTTTTGTTATTCTGTTACCAAAGTACATTAGTATGATAAAAGTCCTTTAGTTGTTCAAACACTTTCAATATCTTCTTACAATTCCTATACCCAAAGTCACAGTGAGGTATGGCAGGTCTAAAGTAGTTTTCTACGGCTGCTCATTCATCCATCACTAATCTTATTAGGCTGTTAATTCCCAGAGGACATGATCAGTACTAGACACAATTTCCAAATGTTGAACAAATGTTGTTCAATAAAACCACGGAGTCATCCTTAGTCTAAAAGATGCCTCATTTTTTATTCATCACTGAACTTAATTTGTACAACTTGATCACAATCTAAGGCGGGTATCTTTAATACATATTTTCATGTCACTGTATAATTGAATGGGAATTTCTGGTAAGTTGTAATACTTCCTTTGTCCCTAAATATAAATATACAATTATATTAAATATATGAGTAGTAAGTTTATTCAGCTTTTTCTCTTGAGAAAATATTGTGACTGCTGGCAACCAAAGGCTGAAATATGAAGTACCAAACCTTAAAGAAGTAAAGCAAACTTGAGAACTGAATATGTAAGACCCGCTTTAGAGGGTACGGGAAGAGGTGTTCTTATCAACAACAAAAAAATGGTGTAATAATTTATATGTTCCAGTTCTTTTCCTCTATTTCTATTTAAAATTTTGCCATCTACTTTGCTCAACTTCAAATATATAGTTCATCTGTTAAAAGTGTATCCCATTAAAGTCAGCTGCTTTACTTCCATCCAGGTCTTTGAATTCCCAGTTAGAGAGTGTCCTTCTACAGCATAACATGTGTTAGATAGTATTACGGGAAGAAACCTCGAATTTTCATGTGCTGAAATTCATCCCTTTACTGGAGCATATGAAAATAAATAAATAAATGCTTGTTTTCTTTGAAAACAGATCGTCTCAATGCCTATAGCTGCCAAGTCTATTGAGGATTTTTTTTTTTTTTGCAGGCTTAGGGGGTCTCCCTTCTTCCCTCATTCTCCCTATTCTTGAGGGTCAGACCCCTGCCTTGCACAACCCAGAGGGGAACCTGAGACCTTTTTAAAAACTGCCCAATTTCTCGCCTTTGGAGAAGTGAAGAGGGCCCCGCCCCCATCTGTGAAAAGCCGGATTTGATAAAGAATTTCAGTGTCTTCAAATCTAAGATTTAAGTCTCTAACCCCCCACGATCCAGGACACCCCCCAAGGCTTCTGGACCCCCTTTCATCCGACCCTAACGGCTTTGGACTGGCCCGGGAATCCTTGTCCCAGTCCACGGTTCCTGTGGGTCTGGGCGCAGAATTCACAGAGGACCTGTGTTACTTGCTTTGCGAAGAAACAGAATTATCGTGAAAACTGAGGTGGAAACCATTTCGTTTTTGTCTCCCTGAGAAGGGAAGCATGTGCCCAACCACCCCTGAGAAAAAGAACTTTCAGGGGCAAAGGAGCGAACAGGTAATTTAGAAGAAAAACAGAAAGTGGTCTCCGGCCATCCTGGACTTCCCTCGGAGTTGGGGGAGTTGGGGGCGCCTGGACGCGTTGTCTTTGGGCTTGAGGAAAAAATAAACGGCGAGCACGAAGCCTGAGGCTTCTCGGATCCTTTCCCGACCAAAGCCGGGAGATTTGGTGCGGGGCATTTTCACATTTTCCCACTTTTGTGAAGTCGAACAAACACAACTTGGGCGCACCGCGGCGGCTCGGAGCCTGCCAGCGAGGCGGGCGAGCGGAGCACCAATCAGCGCGCGCCTGCGCTCTATATATACGGCGGCCCGGCCGCGGCGCACCCACGGCGCTCTGCCACTTGTACCCAGTCCTAGAGCTTCAGCATGTCGGAGACCGCTCCCGCCGCTCCCGCCACCGCCCCCCCGGTGGAGAAGACCCCGGTGAAGAAGAAGGCGGCTAAAAAGCCTGCAGGGGCGCGCCGCAAGGCGTCAGGGCCCCCGGTGTCCGAGCTCATCACCAAGGCCGTCGCCGCCTCCAAGGAGCGCAGCGGCGTGTCCCTGGCCGCGCTCAAGAAGGCGCTCGCGGCCGCCGGCTACGACGTGGAGAAGAACAACAGCCGCATCAAGCTGGGCCTCAAGAGCCTGGTGAGCAAGGGCACCCTGGTGCAGACCAAGGGCACCGGCGCCTCGGGCTCCTTCAAGCTCAACAGGAAGGCGGCTTCGGGGGAAGCCAAGCCCAAAGCCAAAAAGGCGGGCGCGGCCAAGCCCAAGAAGACGGCCGGGGCAGCCAAGAAACCCAAGAAGGCCGCGGGGGCGAGCACCCCCAAGAAGAGCGCCAAGAAGACCCCCAAGAAAGCCAAGAAGCCCGCGGCAGCGGCTGTCGCCAAGAAAGTGGCCAAGAGTCCGAAGAAGGCGAAGGCTGCCAAGCCCAAGAAGGCCGCCAAGAGCGCAGCTAAGGCCGTGAAGCCCAAGACTGCCAAGCCCAAGGTTGCCAAGCCCAAGAAGGCTGCTCCCAAAAAGAAGTAGGTCGTTGAACGTCTACTTCTAAAACCCAAAAAGGCTCTTTTCAGAGCCACCACTATCTCCGAGAAAGAGCTGAGCATTCTTTCCTCCTCCTATGCCTTTTCCCCCTTTAACCTTTAGCTCTAGAACCAGGGTTGCGAGGGTGTGGTTGGCCACTAAGGGCTTACACCAACCGGAAAGGGGCGGAGGGGATCGCTGCGCCGCCGTGGGGCGCGTCCCCCGCCCTGCGGTGCCCCGGGTGGCCTCCCCGGCGGCGGTGCGGAAGCGCTGTCCCGAGGCGCGCACTCGCCCGCCAGCCCCGCCCCGCGCTGGGTACATCGAAAACAACCACAGATCAAAGCCAGCCTGTTTGTGTCTTTAGGGACACCCCCATTGGGTTGGAAACTCATTCAAAAGTCCCGCCCTGCTCGCGGGTTGGCCCACTCCTCCAGCCCGTGATTTTTTTCCTGTGTTTTATTGGGTGGCGTTTGGCCTCTTGTGTGTTCCATGTTTTGTTTCTGGTGGGTTGATTTGGGCTTTTCCCGCTGAAAAACGTGTTATCTGGTATTTCGGACACTTCCCATGTCTTGGAAAGTCAAGTAGGGGTTCCCGGGGGGGGCAGCACGCGACCCGGGAGGAGGGGGTGCAGGCGCCTGCGCCCCGCGATGTCGTCTGCAATCCCGTGCGTCGCGGCCACCAAGTATCGCGTCTGGAAAAGCGCGCAGCGGCGGCCGCGACCCTGCCAAGGCGCACGACTGGACCCGCACCCTTCCGTCCCTCGCCTCGTATATCTTTGGACATGGACAGAGGTGTGATGGATTTGAGTGCATCAAAAACAACTTTTCGTCGGCCATTTTGTCCTGGCAGCGGGTACCCGAGCCTCGTTTTAGGCAGACGTCAACATCCCAAAACCGGAGACGTTTTTTATTTTTTTTATTTATTTTTATATTTTTTTAAAGATTTTATTTTTTGAGAGAGAGAGAATGAGAGAGAGAGCACGAGAGGGAAGAGGGTCAGAGGGAGAAGCAGACTCCCTGCCTAGCAGGGAGCCCGATGTGGGACTCGATCCCGGGACTCCAGGATCATGACCTGAGCCGAAGGCAGTCGCTCAACCAACTGAGCCACCCAGGCGCCCCGGAGACGTTTTTTAAAGGATTTCTGTGCGGCCCCAAGTCCAACAGTTTCGATGCGAGGAGCAAAATATGGGTAAACAGTTGGAAGCGTATGCATGTGTGGGGTGGTGTCTAATGAAGGGCTTTTGTGTATATTCACGGTGTTATCTGTGGGCTCTTTTATATTCATGGCGTTTCTTCTGGACAGAGAAAGTCCTAGTCCCGTTTTTATTCTGGTGAGCACAGATTTTCTCGAGACAAGTTCCAGGAACGGGCTTCTGGGACCTGCAGCTCAGTTCTTTGTCCATTGCCAACAATGACGGATCTAGTCGCTAATTCATCTAGATTCGTTCCCCCATTCCTGGTAGGGACCACGGGTTTCATCCCTGCCCGCATCGCCCCTCCCGACAGAGTGGGGATACTTTGACGTCCGTTGTCATGAGTAGAAAGACCTCCACTTCTTTGAGAGCGCTTCGCGCGCGGGCGCACTCACGAAGACAATTTTCCCATGGTTACTTCCCATTATTTTTGTGCTGTTAATTTCACATTTAAAACAATTGAGCCCTCTGTATTTTGTTGTAAGGTTTAATAAATGTATACAACCCTTCCATTTCTGACCCCCTTACCCCACCCCCATTTTGAGATGCCACCTTTATCATGGGCTAAATTCTTTGGATAGTTGGAGTAATTCTTTGTTTTCTACTTTGTTCCTTTGGTCTTTCTTGGCCATTCCTCAAGTGTGATCACAACTGTTAAGTATTGTTCACAGGACTATTTTCAATGCTGAGAATACATGACCTATAGTAGGTATTAAAATAAAAATTGAATGTTTAATAAACTGAGATGTTATGACTGATAGCTGATAGAGCTCATTCCCTCTCGTTGCTCTTCTTTCTCAGAATTTCCTGGTTATTCTATTTTTTGTTTATTTCGTTTTTCCAAATGTAATTTAAGATGCTTCCTTCCTCCCACCTCTTCACCCCTCCATTATGCATAAAAACCCCTCAATACCCTATCAGTAGTTTCTTTGGGATGATGTTAGATTTACAAATTAATTTGGGGAGATGAATTTTCCTATTCAAGAACATTTTATGTTTCCCCCCCTTTTTTTTCAAATATTTTGTACCTGTGGAGAATGTTTCAAATTTTCTCCAAATATATCTTCATATTTCTTATTACCTTTATTCCCAGATATTTTGTCATCTTTTTACTGTTGAAATGGCAACCTGTGAGATTTAAGATTCCTTGAGGACCAGCATCCCATAAAGTGCACACTGAAGAAGATAGCCAGTTATGGAAGGGATCTATGCCTGTGTGAATTAATAACCTCTAGAACAGTGCTGTCTATAGCACATAAATAAGGAAAAAAGAAACAGGTGAAATCAATTTTAATAACATAGTTTATTTAACCTAATATATCCAAAAGATTCTCATTCAACATAAAAGCAATATAAAAATATTTATGAGATATTCCACATTCTTTTTTGTTTCTCATATCATGTCTTTGGAAACTCTATGCATACAGCGCATCTCAGTTCCTGCCTACCTGTTTCAAGAGCTCAGTTAGCTATATGTGGCTTGTGGCAACCATATGGACAATAAAACTCTAGAATGCCCTCTGTCCCTAATGTCTCGGTCTTCTCTAACCTCATCTTTGGCTTAATGTTTGCATGACAGTGTGTCAATATATTATGTCCTCTGTGGCCTAAACTTTTGGTGAAGTGTCCGACCTTAAAGGATGGTTGACTGGTCCAAAGGGCATTGGGCCAATATGAACCATCAAAAATTTTCTTCCAAGAACTGGAATTGAGTTAAAGAAACTGAGGTGACCTGATGTCCAGGGAACTGCCTTCTTAGACACTCTGTAGTAGAAACCGAGAGGTCTGGTGAATAAAAAGAGCAGAATGGGGCCAAGTACAGAGCAGAGCAGAGAGGAGAGATGCATAGAGCGGTGTTCTCTGGGCTCCTGACATTGGAGTTCTTGGTTCTCCTAGCCATCGGAACTCCTGCCAGTGGGGTCACCTCGCTTGGCTCTGGTTGGGTCAAGTTGTAGCAACCAGAAGACTTAATTAAGACACTTCAAATAGAATCCCAGTTAGTGCTTATGGTTATGGCATAGTGAATATCCATGCTCCCTTTCCCTTTCAAATGCTTTCAAGTCCACACACCTTTGGAGTTGAATATATTTGCAGTTGATCCTCACATTGAATGTCTCCTGCAAACATATCTGCCTAGGTAATAACGGGTGTCCTTTACTTTCAAATGAAATGTATTCCTCAAAAACAAATATAATCACCCTTCTCTAGTAAGGGTACAGGGAGAGTTCATTCGCAGAGAGCTAAAAGTTGTCATAAAAATCTCTAATTTCACCTAGACTTTAGATACAATCTTCACCAATGTTTCTTTGATTTTTGTTCCAGTCCCTCACCAGTGTCCACAAAGTTGACTGGGTTAAGTCTGATACTGTAAGCCATTCATTAGACTCTAATTTGGCTGCTTTAAGAAAAAGGTCCTTGGGGCGCCTGGGTGGCTCAGTTGGTTAAGCAACTGCTTTCCGCTCAGCTCAGGTCACGATCCTGGAGTCCTGGGATCGAGTCCCGCGTCGGGCTCCCTGCTCGGCGGGGGGCCTGCTTCTCCCTCTAACCCTCCCCGCTCTCATGTGCTCTCTCTCTCTCTCTCATTCTCACTCTCTCAAAATAAATAAATAAATCTTAAAAAAAAAGAAAAAGGTCCTTGTCTTGATTTTTAGTTTATGAAGTCTATATTTTATTTTGACATTATTATCATTTTCAATGTTCTACTTATTATGATCATATTGATAATGGCAATAATACATTCAAATAATTGCCCAAACATAGCTGATTAGCCAGAACTGCATAAACTAAACTGCTGATTGATAATTCAACAATGAAAATTCATGATCTCATGTCCATGTATGACAAAAGCGTGAGTAACACAGAAATTAAAGGCTACTTGTAATGCATTATAATGCATTATGCCAAACTTTTTTTTTTTCCTGCCCATACATAGTGCTCTCTCATGGATGAAAAATTAAATATCCTATTACTTCTCATAGGGAAAGTTCTAGGTATCATTCTATGCCTAAGGGAAGTGTAGAAAGCAACTTTAGGTTGAAATTCATGCCAGAGATGAATAGGTCCAGGAGAAGCAAGATTACATCATTAGAGGATTTCACAGTGGAGGGATTTAGGGCAGAGTGGGAACAATAGCGTTTCGAGCTAGCATTTCCTGAGCTCTAATTTGCAATGTGCCAAGCATTGTTGCTCATCACTCTCCACTTATTATCAAACACCTTGTCAGAGCACTTTGAGGTAGGTGTCATTAATATTGGGGATTGGTGATATTAAGAATGTAGCTAGTTTCCTATCAGTGAGCCAGTGCAATTGTCCTCTGTATGCCAGTGCTTTTCCTCAGAAATACAATAAGAGCTATATAGATTATTTGACATTTTCTAGTAGCCACATTTAAAAGAGTAAAAAAACACATAAAATCTATTTTAATAGTATATTAACTCACTGTAAGAAAAATATTATTTCAACAAGTTATCAAATATAAAAAATATTAAGGAGGTTTTTTATTCTATTTTTCAGACAGCTCTTTGAAACCTGGTACGTAGTTTACCCTTAAAGCTCATTCTAATTTGGACTAGCCACATTTCAAGTGCATAATAGCTATCCATGGCTAGTGGCTACTGTCTTGGACAATATAGCTCCATAGTAAATACTCTGGGGAAGACACAAGCAAATACTTGCTCTGTAGCAGAATCCAAATGTTTCCAAGGAAATGATTATTCTGACCTGGTCCTGAAGCCCAGAGAGCATCCTTAAGACGGGATGTGTCTTCTACTCATCCTACCCACTTCATCTCATACCAGGCCACTAAGCAGAGGACTCTGACAATAGAAGTTAGCCAGCCCGCTGCATCTCCTACCCAGCTAGCCTAATCTGTGAGACAGGAGCAACTAGATCTAAGAATCCCTTTCTGGGCAATCTTATTGATCAGAGGATATTTTGAGTGTAGGTTTGGTGTGAGATTGCCTGTCAACGATATTTAGTAGTGGTATAAATTTGGCCAATTAACTAAAATCTCTTAGGCTAAAGTTCTTCCTCTAAAATGGACACTGAGAGAACTTGACTTTCAGTGTTGTATTAAGAATGATATAGGGGCGCCTGGGTGGCTCAATCGGTTGAGCGTCTGACTCTTGATTTCAGCTCAGGTCTTGATCTTGGCATCGTGAGTTTGAGCCCTGAATCGGGCCCTGTTCTGGGCGTGGAGCCTACTTAAAAAAAAAAGGTAAAGAATGATATAGAACAATTCAGGCCAATCAGTTCACGTGGTACTTGACCCATGGAAAACTATGAATGTTAGCTACTAGACTGACTCCAATGAAAACATGGTTTTATTGTTCCTCCCAGGGGGACCTCTCTAAAGGAAGACAATATTCAGTCCAGAATAGATCCCTAACACCCTGCGATATTGTCCCAGAAAACTCACATTTACACCTGAAGGGTTCAAATTGCTCGGAGTTGACTTTATATCCTCCGCACTAAGTTTTGTCCTGGTATCTCTGAGAATGGTACCACCATCCAAAGCAGCATGCAAAGCAAAGCTCAGATTATCCCAGAGGCGTACAAGTCATCATCCCAAACTAGCGATTCTCAACTCCTAGGGCTCTCTGCTAAGGGGTGTTAGAAGAGTGGTAGGAGGGCCGGGGAAGGCCATGTATAATTTAGAAAAGCATAGACAGTGTTCAGAAGCACATTTACCCTGAAGCTGGTGAAACTCAAATGTTGGGCTCAGTACTTCAAAAGCCCTGAGAGGGGCTCTTGGGAGTGTGTTCACTTGGTCTCTCTCTCTCTCTTTTTTTAATGTCCATGTTAAGATATTGTATTCATAGCTGGTTAAACCCGTTGTTTATTGCCACTCAGGCTTCCCTTTCGTATTACAATTCACCTTGTGCCTGATTATGCCGGGATACTGATGAACACATTTGGATTTGGGTAAGAGAAAATTTACTTCATATGTGTTTAGTTTAGGGTTAACAAGATATAAAATTTGCAGATGCGCTCACATATAAGTTCAGTCGTTCTAGCCAATCGGATGTAAGAGTGGTTTCAAGGAATATACTCCTACTGCTCACTGGCAAACTTACCTGGATTTCAGACAAGAAGATGTAGTACTAGATGTCGTATAATGACATCTATGTATTTGTAGCAACCGCAGTGGGAGTGAAGGTGTAGAGTACGGATGAATCAAGATTTGAAATGTATAGAGCTGAAAGCTAGTCCATGAAGAATCCTTCCAAATTTTGCAACTCACATATGAAAGAAGCTTGACAAGGGATTTCCCAAATTTGAAAACAGTCTTAAAAATGACACTACCAATAATGTGTTTTGAAGCTGAAACTCAGTTCTAAGCTATCAAGAGAACAAAATAAATTGTGATCAATTTACCCTGGAGGAAATACTGAATTTTCTTCCCACTGTATATATAGAAAATACTCCTTTTTTTTTTTTTTTTTTTTTGGTGGGCAGCAAAGCCAGGTTTATTGAGCGATAGCACTAAGTTCCCAAGGAGGGAGGGGACCCAAGAGGGTTGCCCTCCAAAATAATTTTCAAGTAAAAATGGAATCAGAGTATGCAGTCAAAAATATTCTAAGGAAAAAAAATATAGTGTTGTACTCAAGAGCTAATAAAATGTGCTATTTTTAAGAACTTTGTGATGGCTATGGTTTTATTTTTGTAAAATTGGAATTTGGCTCCTCTTTCCATTATAAATTAATACTGTCTAGTTTTGTATTTTAAATTTTGAATTGTAATTGTTAAGAGTTGCCAAGTTGTGTAAGTTTTAGGCCTCAGGAAACCTTGAACTACCATCAGTTTATTATAATTTTATGCTTAGAAAATTTAAAAAAATAACTTTTGTCAATAACTTTGTATTTATTAAAAGGGGACATGAGTAGGAGAGACACTTTAGGTAGCAACCTGTCAGAATCTCAAATCCTATTGATTTTAAGATGCATAGGCAAAGAAACTTTGGATAATGATAGGCAAGTCTTTTTTCTTATTGCATATATGTATTTAGTGGGTCTCTGCTGGTGAGTACAGAAGTGTTTCTATCACCTGAGCTTCAATCCCTTCTCAGTTAGACCAATACAAGATTCTGGAGTCAGGATACATGAAATGTTTTGTGGACTACTGATAACTTTATGGATACTGAGAATGCTGTTAGATTTACTTCTATTATGCTAAATGGAATAAAAACTGTTGGGATGGTCGGGACCCTCTACAAACTCACCTGACTAAATGCTATCCTCTTTAATTTAATGAAGTCCAACTGAACAGGCAAAAGTAAATGAATAGAAAGGGTTTTCGAGGAACTGCACTACAAATGTAAAGAGAAACCTCCCTGGGGAATTTAAATCCAACTATAAGCTTACTTTGTCCTCTATTCCTGGTGTACATGTGAAGCTTGTCTAACTGCTCCAAGAAATTAAACCTGCTTCTAAGTCACCCCGAAAATGATAAGCGTACCTTAAAAAACACTTCTAAGGGGTACGAAGCCTGAGACAGGGACTTGGCCAATTATCCAAGTATCTCATACTAAAACATTTACATCCCAAAGGTTCCTAGCAACTAAATTGTTTCGGTAGTTGATAGTTACAACCGCTTTCAAGAGACTGTGGGTGGCTCTGAAAAGAGCCTTTTACGATCAGTAGTTTGTTTTATGCCCTTTCCCCGCGGATGCGGCGCGCCAGCTGGATGTCCTTGGGCATGATGGTGACGCGCTTGGCGTGGATGGCGCACAGGTTGGTGTCCTCGAAGAGCCCCACCAGGTAGGCCTCGCACGCCTCCTGCAGGGCCATCACGGCCGAGCTCTGGAAGCGCAGGTCGGTCTTGAAGTCCTGCGCGATCTCGCGCACCAGCCGCTGGAACGGCAGCTTGCGGATCAGCAGCTCGGTGGACTTCTGGTAGCGCCGGATCTCGCGCAGGGCCACCGTGCCGGGCCGGTAGCGGTGCGGCTTCTTGACGCCGCCGGTGGCCGGCGCGCTCTTGCGGGCCGCCTTGGTGGCCAGCTGCTTGCGCGGGGCCTTGCCGCCGGTCGACTTGCGGGCCGTCTGCTTCGTGCGAGCCATTTGGCGAAACAAAAGACCCCCTAAGAACCTGGCGAGTAAAGGAGAGGATTCCTTTATATACAGTAAGAAGCCTTCTGATTGGCCTTGTAATTTTTCAAAAGAACCACGCGATAAATCCATTGGTCGAACGGTAACCACATTGCTTAATTACTGGAGGATCTGATTGGATGAATTACTCCCCCTCTCTCCCTTTCTCAGTATGAAATAATGTTCAAAGATTCTTTTACGCTTTCACTAAGTACAGTTTAGGTAACCAGCCATTTAAGAAGCACGTTTATGTAATTTGTGTGGCTCTGTAAATCTAAGTGGGACCTGAAATTCCCCAAATTCTTTACAGGCTCGCAGGTTATCAATCCTGCTGGTCTGCACTTTTCATCGAGTACAATTTTATCTTGTTACCTTCGCCTCTAGATGGTTGGGTTAGTTATTTTGAAGTAAATCTCGGGTCGCCTGGACTGCCACTTTCTAGGTCTGGTCATTATAGCTCCCCTAATACCGAGTTTTCTCGTATGAAACCACATGGCGGCGTCCCTGGGTGGATTTGGAGTATCACACGTAAAGCACCGGCTCTGATAACGCTAGATACAACAGTGGCCCGCAACAAATGATCGCCGACTTTTCTTGGGTAAAATGGCTTTTCCTTAAACTGGAAACTTGAAAAGCACGGGGGGCATTGGCCAAAAGCAAATTTTCTTCCTGCTTGTACACTTCAGTCCCTTTACTTTCTCATAGCGAAGTTACGTCTGGTATGCACTAAGTTCAGGGTACACGGCCGCTTTCCTTGGCTCTCAAGGTTTTAACCTTACCTTTTACGAATGTATTCAGGGTTGATTCTACCAAGGTAGTATAAACTCGTTACCAGCCTTTCTTGTGAAAATATGGATGGCTCTGAAAAGAGCCTTTAATTTGCTGTAGTTAAGTGGAAGATACGTGCTGTTTGTGCTAGACTTTACTTGCCCTTGGCCTTGTGGTGGCTCTCGGTCTTCTTGGGCAGCAGCACGGCCTGGATGTTGGGCAGGACGCCGCCCTGCGCGATGGTCACGCGGCCCAGCAGCTTGTTGAGCTCCTCGTCGTTGCGGATGGCCAGCTGCAGGTGGCGCGGGATGATACGCGTCTTCTTGTTGTCGCGCGCCGCGTTGCCCGCCAGCTCCAGGATCTCGGCCGTCAGGTACTCGAGCACGGCCGCCAGGTACACGGGCGCGCCGGCCCCGACCCGCTCGGCGTAGTTGCCCTTGCGGAGCAGGCGGTGGACGCGGCCCACCGGGAACTGCAGGCCGGCCCGCGACGAGCGCGTCTTGGCCTTGGCCCGGGTCTTGCCTCCTTGCTTCCCACGTCCAGACATGCCAAGCCAACCTAGCTGAGCAACCAAATCTCTGTGAAAATTGAAGAAACGTAGGTTAGCTACTTAAAAAAAAAACTCTTTTATAGTAATTGCGGGGATGAGCCAACAAGCTATCCCATTGGTCAAAATATGTTAGTCTGTATATCCAATAGGAAGAGAGAATCTGTATCCCTTATTTGCATAAGCCCCTCCCCTTAGGGAGAGCGTTCTGATTTTATCCAATGAGAAGAGACAATTCTTGAAACCTCATTTGCATTGAAGAACTATAAAAGAATGAGCTCTGGACCCTTCACAACCACTAACCTTTGTTGTGGTGAAGGCGATTAGCGTTTCTACTGCTCCTGAGTATAGAGCCATGCCTGAACCCTCCAAATCTGCTCCGGCCCCGAAGAAGGGCTCCAAGAAGGCCATCACTAAGGCGCAGAAGAAAGACGGCAAGAAGCGCAAGCGCAGCCGCAAGGAGAGCTATTCCATCTACGTGTACAAAGTGTTGAAGCAGGTGCATCCCGACACGGGTATCTCGTCCAAGGCCATGGGCATCATGAACTCGTTCGTCAACGACATCTTCGAGCGCATCGCGGGCGAGGCGTCCCGCCTGGCGCATTACAACAAGCGCTCGACCATCACGTCCCGGGAGATCCAGACGGCCGTGCGCCTGCTGCTGCCCGGGGAGCTGGCCAAGCACGCCGTGTCCGAGGGCACCAAGGCCGTCACCAAGTACACCAGCTCCAAGTGAGCCCGCCGGCCGCTGACCGCAACCCAAAGGCTCTTTTCAGAGCCACCCACTTGATCGAAATTGAGCTGTAATTACTACCGTAGCCGTGTAGGTGCAACTTTATTGCTATAGCTTAAGCCTTCAGGAATGTAGCAAAAGGATGTTCCTGGAGGCAATTTTAGAGCCGAGAAATTATTTTTCAGCCCGGGTTCCGTTTTTCCCTAAGCCTCAGGATGCTTGTAAGTGTTCACTCTGCCCTAAACAGTGTCCACGTTTCTAGAAAAGAGGGATTTTCCTGCTGGCTAAAGAAGTGGTTAAAAGTTTTCAGAATAGGAACTCTAAGGAGATATTTAATCCAGACTTGCCTTATTGGGAGGAGGGGCAGTTTTGGGTGGCGGAAAGAGCAGGCAGGGGCTTATATACCTGGACCCTAAATTCCCTGCCCTAAAGCATTGGGTAAACAGTAAACAGTCGCTCGTGGTTCCTGTGGATACTTCTGGGGTATACCTTTAATCTGCGCAGATTAAAGGAAATTAGTTGCGCGTTAGAATTGTTTACCGATGGCAATAGCTAGTCTAAACCCGTTTCAATTTTTCTTGCGTTCCAGGAATCCGAGCTCCCATTTCCTGTTCTGAGTGTGGCTTTTCGGGAATGCCACTAGAAGGGCGGGAAAGATGGCCCTCCAGCCATAGGAAGGACAAAAGGTTTGAATTTCCCGCTCTTCCCAATCGCGCCACTTCACTGACTGGCGGGGAAGGCCCGGGTCGGGAGGAAGATGTGCTGGTGTTTCTTGGTAAACTTTTTTCAAAGAACCCGGACTCCCCAAAATAATCCCCAATAGACAGAAAATGACCTTGGTTGAGGAAGAGGAGGTAATGGATCAGCTCTAAATCCGGGACGGGGAGGAGAGGAGAATGGGTAGGACTAAGCTGTTGACTGCCTACGAAAAAGAGGAAAACAGTATTTTTCATCTGTTTATGAGCATTTTATGTAGTTGACATACAACAGTGTCTTTGGATGAAGAAATAAAATATACAGTAGAATTTCTTTAAAAGGACCCCTTTATAAAGAAAATTTAAATTTAAATGATCTTTTTCCCAGATCCCACGTCAGCCGACCGCTCTGTAAGTACCTCAAGTCTCAGCAACACAAAATATAGTTGTGAATGAGACCCCAGCCTCAAAAATTAATAATTATAAAAAGACATATTCTGCCCCCCCTTTTTTTTAATTATCGAACTCAGGCAACAGTTTAAGAATCACTGACCCTTAATTATTATTTCTTAACCTCTTCAAAATGGTCTGAGGTAGGGATTATTTTTTTCCCATCTTGTCCTTCAAAACTTTTGCTTTCTACCGCTTGCTTTCTACCTTTCATCTCTCTCTCTCCTCTCCCCCCCTCCATGCTCCCCTTCATTCCTAATATTTGATGCTTTACCTAAAACTTTACCCTTAATTGACAAGTTCAAACTAAACTTGGGTTTGTAAACTTAGACTTAGGCCTTTTTACCATCTGTACTGAATACCCGGCTGATCTCTAATAAGTGAACAGAGAATTTAAATAATCAGATGCCTGGACTCTGTGGTAGACTCCCGATCTATAGTGGGGAGTGGTGAGAAAGTAGGAAAAAACTCATAAAATCTCTCCAGCTGCATCTGATGAGGCACCAATTTTAGACACAGCAGAGCCAGTAGGGCAAGCCATCCAAGTGAAATTCTACAAGGGTTTATATACCCTCTTCCCTAATAAAATACCCACATTTTCTCCAGAGAGGCAGTTTCTGAGTAAAAAGGCAAATGAGAAAAAGAAAAAAAGCCTGTATTACTTCCCTGATTCTTCTTGCAGCCACGGGAAGTTTTGCCTGCCTTCCTATCCAACAAAGATGAGCTGGAGACAGGAAGAGCTCAATCTGTCAGGGAGGGAAAGGGGAGCTGCTCTGGGCTAAGTTCTGGGTGCCAGGAACAAGACAGAGGGGGGTTCCGAAGACTTTTAATTTGGAGAAAGGTTGAGAATTTGGAAAAGAAAAGAAGGATCCACGGACAGATAACAGGGCGTCCAGAAAGTGTTCATGATTCAGGAGATAGGGCACAGTTAGAAATGGGATGCCCTGGCCCTGCTTCGTGGCAGATGAGAGGACACAGACTTCTCAGTCCTGTCTTCAGCATCTCTCCACAACATTTGATGTCTTTCTTCTTGGCTTTTCGTTTCCATTAAATAATATACACATTTAAGTCAGTTCTTTTTAACTTCCTTGCAAAATAATACCTGCCCGTTATTTTAAAATAACAACCACCACAAAAATTTCAAATAAACAAGTGAAAATCAACTGTAATTCCATTATCCAGGACTTTTTTGCCATCAATCTTCTGGAAATTTTATTTTGTGCCAGTCTATAAACATATAGATATATTAATGTCATATGAGTTCATACTTTCTTTTATCCTTTAAAATTTAATAGGGATCTTGTTGCCAAGTGAACAGGGAAACCCTGGGCCCTGGGGCCTCCACTCGGCCAGTTCCGAAGAGGTGATCAAAGGTTCTTGGTCTTGTCACAAGAAAGAATTCAAGGACAGACATGCAACACAGAGGACAAGGGACACAAGCGGGAAAGTTTATTAAAGTTAAAAGTATACCCCTGACATATGAGAGAGAAGGAGCGGCCTCCCCCTGCTTTTTCTTCCTCACTTGCTCAGGGGTTTCCTGTCGTGGCGCCGCCACCGTGGGCCCGTCTGGTGGGATCTGGCCTCTCGTGGATGCTGCCAGGACAGGCCTATGACCTTCCCCACAGCTGCCCATGCCTGCCTCCTTGCTGGCCTCCAGGCATCCTGTTAGAGCCTAGCCTAGTCTAACAGTACCAGAAAGAGAGCTATTGTCAGGGATAACTTTTTTTTTAATCTGAAAAACTTACCTGCAAGGCAGGGCAAACATCTGATTAACCAAACATCTACTCTTACCTTCCTGTGAATTGCCAGCTCTCCTCTGAAGCCCCAGGTCCTCACCATGTTCCTTAGCTCAGGATGGATATCATACAATCGTCAATTGCCTGACTGCCTTTGAGTCTCATGTCTTTACAGGGCTCTCAGACATAAGAAATTATATTTGCTTTTCTCCTATTAATCTGCCTTGTGTCAAAATGTAATTATTAAACCAGCCAAAGAGCCTAGAAAGGAAGAAGGGAACATTTCTCCACCTCTACATTACCACTGCTGGTTTACAGATGAAAACAAGCCACTCGTTGAATTCTATATATTTGCTAAATTTTTGTGTAGTTGTTCTATCAATTGTTGAGAGGGGGTGTTGACCTGTCTACCTGTCTACCAATTACTCCTTGCAGTTCTACCAGTTTTCCTCACATATTTTGTAAGGCTGTTATTTGGTGCTTACACATTTATAAAGAATTTCTGGGTTTGGGGCACCTGGATGGCTCAGTCGGTTAAGCGTCTGTCTTCAGCTCAGGTCATGATCTCAGGGTCCTGGGGTGGAACCCTGCATCGGGCTCCCTGCTCAGAGGGGAGCCTGCTTCTCTGTCTGCCTGCCATTCCTCCTGCTTGTCCTATCTCCCTCTCTGTCAAATAAATAAATAAAAACTTAAAAAACAAAACAAAACAAAAAAATTGCTTGGTTTTCTTATTAGATTGACTCTTTTATCATTTGTAATGTCCTTTTCTATCTCTGGTAATTTTCTTTGCTCTGGTTTACTTACTTGATACTAATATAGGCACCCTTGATTCCTTTTGTTGATATTTGCAGGGTTGTTCTTCCTCTACCCTATAATTTCAGCATGCGTATATAGTTATATTTGAAGTGAGTTCCTGTAGACAATGAAGGGGAACATTATTTGCCACCCTAAAATATGCCTCCTTGGCATAAGGATTACCTAAACTGATCTTTTTAAAAAGATTTATTTATTTATTTGACAGAGAGAGAGAGGGCTCAAGTAGGCAGAGAGGCAGGCAGAGGGAGAGGGAGAAGCAGGCTCCCCGCAGAGCAGGGAACCCAACGTGGGGCTCGATTCCAGGACTCTGGGATAGTGACCTGAGCCAAAGGCAGATGCTTAACTGACTGAGCCACCCAGACGCCCCTGATTTTTTTTTTAATAGCAGACATTAAAAAAGCTTTGAAAACCTAGTAGAAGTTAGCCTTTTGTAAGAGAAATTTACATTTTCAAGGGAAATCTGCATTTGCAAGAGTGTTTCCCTCTCTGTGCCAGGAAGGATGACTAAACCTGTGGGAACCCATTGGAGAAGGCAAAAACTTCAATCTGCCTAACAACCACAGCCTTGTTTACTGTGCTTTGCCTGGTAACCTCCCAAAATGGGCCTCCCCACCCTCCACCCTGAACATCTTTTGCCTTTAGCTGGAGATGGTATTTAAGGTGGTGGCTTGGGCCATTTGAGGCATTACTCAGTGTTTCCTGGATCTCCCCCTTGTATACAGGAGGTACACATGTTATTAAACTTCTGGGGTTTTTTGTTTCTTGTTTTTTTTAAAGTTCTGTTTCCTCCTGTTAATCTCTCTTGTATTAGATTACAAGCTGAATTCAGCTAACAATCTAGAAGGATAGAGGGAAAATTATTTTTCCTCCCTACAACAGCATCCATTTGGAGCATGTACTTTTATCCACTCAGCCGATCTCTGTTTTTTAATGGATGTATTTAGACCATGTACATTTAATGCAATTATTGACAATGATGGGGTTCAGGCATACTACCCCACAAGATGGCACTTTGACATACTGAATATCTTACGCTAGAGGCGTTTGGGAAAACAGCAAACCAAGGTTACTTTGACCTCCTCTTCCTCACCCCTCTTCTCTAAAGGCAGGATTAGAAAAACATCACCAGAAACAGGGAATTTAGGGCTGAGAAGACTCTATGAACAAAAATGTTACTTCAACATTTACTATACCCATTGCCCAAACCCCCTTGTCTTTTCAGTCCTTTAGAAATCTACTTTGTTGCCTAAAGTTATAAAAGTTTCCTGCTTTGGTCACTTCTTTAGGTCTTCATTTTTTTAGGAAGGCTCCCAAGGCCATGTAAAAATTCCAATAAAATTTGTATGCTTTTCTCCTGCTAGTTTATCTTGGTTAGTTTAATTATCACACCCAGCCAGGGACTCTAAAAGGGTTTAGGAAAAATTTTTCTTCCATACATGTTAGGCCTTAAGTTTGCCATTTTACTTTTTGTTTTCTGGTGGTTTTTTTTGGTTTGTTTTTAATTTTTCCCTCGCTGTTGTTCATTTCTCTGTTTTCTAATTCAGACTTTCCTGTGGGCTGCTTGAATATTTTCTTGAGACAATTTGAATTTGAATCATCTATTGTCTTTTCATAGTTTTTAGTGGTTGCTCTAGATATTACATACATATAACATCACAGTCCACCGGTATCTAGTTATCAGTTCAACTTTACAAAGCTTGTCTCCTTTTAAATCTTTTTGCCCTCTCTTGTTTATAATATAATTATCTGAAATATTTCCACTATATACATCGAGAACCACATCAGATAATATAAGAAATTTAGCTTCTAAACATAATTTAGAAAACTGAAGGGAATTGTATTTACCCATATTTCTTTCTTTACTTTCTTCCTTCCTGATGTTCCAAAAATCTTATATCATTTCCATTCTTTTTCAAGAACTTCCTCTTGCCATTCTTCTCTGGAGAGATATGCTAGCAACAAATTCCACTTTACTTCATCTGAGAATGTCTTTATTTCCCCACCGATTCCTAAAGGACATGAAATTCAGAGTGACGGTACCAGTTCCCTTCTTTTAGCTCTTAAAAAATGTGACATTGCCTTTTGGTATGTGGTTTCTGATGAGAAATCTGCTGTCATTTGAATTGATTTTTCCCTTTTATGTAGGTTTTATTTCTCTCACTGCTTTCAAGATTTTTTTGTTTGTTTGTTTTGCTTTTAGTTTGCATAGGTTCGATTATGATGTGTTTTGTGGCAAGAATGTGTTTTGGTTCATTCTACCTGGGGGTTTGTGTAGCTTCTGAAGTCTGTAGGTTTACATCTTTTGTCAATTTTAGCAGTTCTTCAGCATCTCTCCGCAACATTTGGTCTTTTGTCATTGTCCCACGTGTCTCTGATGTTGATTTTTCTCCCCAGTCTATTCTCTCTCTCTTGTTCAAATTGGGTAATTTCTATTATTCTATCTTCAGATTCACTGATTTTTTTTCCCCTCTGTCATCTCCATTCTGCTGTTGAGCCCATCCATGGAGCTTTTTATTTCAGTCGTTGTATTTTTTCAGTTCTAAAATCTGAATTTGGTTCTTTTTTACATCTTTTATCTTTTTTCTGGAGGTCTTCCAGTCTTTCATTTGTTTCAAGTGTGTCTATAATTGCTCACTGAAGTATTTTTATGATGGCTGCCTTAAAATCCTGGGTGGATGATTCCCACATGCTGAGAGGGAGAAGTGTCTCATCATTGCTGAGTAAGTGATGTCCAGGATCCCCATGTGGCCTCTGTGGAAACCTTATGCCTAGGGAGATGGGGAGGCAGATGCACAATTTTTTCCATGGTGTTTCGTTGGAGCACAGTGCTTATTTCATAAGTTTTCTACTTTCTAGGTCGACCCTTGGTCTTTTGGCTAGAGATACCAGGTTTTTCTTGTTTTATGTCTTTATTGTTGCCGTTGTTTGTTTGCTCTCTTTGCCATTTCTAGATTGCCAAGTTCTTCAGCTTGAATGTACTCGAACCCAGATTCTTCCAAATGCTTCTACTTGTAGGGGAGGAACAATTTCTCTCTACACTCACAGGCTCTCCAACTGGGTCTAAGAATTCAACTGACATAGATTAATGGGATAAAAGCCTACAAGTTTTAATTATTACTTTTTGTTTACATGTACATGGGAGTTTTTGAAAGAAAAATGAAGACCCAAAGAAGCAGTTAGAATTTAATGCTTATATACTGTGTCGGACAAAGAACAGGTGTGTGACAACGTGACAGGCAAAGGGGCTGGGGCTGGGGTAGTTAACCGGGTGAAGAGACTAGGAAGATTAAGGGTTAGTTTAGCAATGTTTGTACAGATTTCTCTTAGCCTCAATTTCCTGGCCATGGTGAGAAGAATGACTCTTTCTTTCTGGTATAGGGAGGACATCTTTCACATGGGAATTTCAACCCCTGCTTTTAAGGAAAAAAAGGTAAAAAATGAGATTGTCCTCACAGCTGTTTTTTTGCAAGTTCTTTAACTCCAACTAGTCAATATGCCAGAGTAGCATATTTGGGGAGGGCATGTTCTGGACTCCTTCAACAATAACCTCAAGGCCAGTTAGATTTTCTCAAGTGAGTTCAAGTCACATTACACTTTTTTGATTGAGCAAGGAAAAGATATTTACTTTCTTTCATTGCTTATATAAACCCATATGCGTCAAAGTGTCCTGCTCCTGGCAGAAGAGGGGTTATTGGGAACAGCTACTCTTCTCATATTTTTATGGAAGAATTTACCCCCCTCATCTTCCTCCCCAATATCTGCTCTCCACATTATTCTTCAGAGTCAAATGCCTAGATGTTGCTGATTTTGAAAACTTGCTAATAGGATTTCATTAAGTTGTTCTACTCATAGCAGAGGCCAAGTGTTTGTCGATTTGTCTGACACAGTGACCTAGATAACTGGATGACTTATTTTCATCCGTGATTCAATGGAGTATAGATTTGTGATGTTGTGACTGCAGTTTCTAGTCTGGGTTTTTGAAACAGGCCTTAATCTTGCCTTCTATTTTACCTAGCTCTGTACACACCCACTGCTCCATCCAAAGTGACCTACAGTGTATTCAAGAAATGAGAACACTTCTATCTTCTGGCCCTTAGCCTCTGACATTCCCTTGGCTTTGGATGCATGTGGCCTTTTATTGAAGCATTTATTCTTCTTGTTTGGCTAACTTCTTTCCCTCTTTCAGGTTTGAGCTCAAATGATACCGTCTTGGTGACGCTTTCCCTGACCATCTTTGTATCTATGCCCTTTTCCTACCTTTTGTCCAAACCACTCAACTCCAAAAAATGCACTGTGCACTTTTACTATGTACTTAGCTTATTGTGCGCTTCCCCACACTAGAAGAGCCTCACCACAAGGGTACGAACAGGTTGTTACCTGCTTTTTTCACTGCCGTGTTCCATGTACCTGGAACACTGGCATGTAGCAGGGGTTCAGTAAATATACGTTGACTGAATGCTGGATGCTCATCTCCCGCACACACTCTCTTCCCCTTCTAACCCACAGTGATTACTCTTCTCCTCCATATGGTCTTATATTACTTATTATTTAAACCTTCTTTTTGGGATGCAGATTATGCTCTACTATTTAGTCTTCAGATATACAATTCTTGCCTTTTCAAGAATATTAAGTCTTCGAGGCAGGATTTGAGATATCTTTTTATATCTCCATCTGGGGTCTGGCAAAGACACTGAACCAGTGGTTATTATCAGTGTTGGTGATAGTGAAGATGACGATGAAATTAAAAAGGAGGTTGAATATTCTTTTTTTTTAAGATTTTATTTATTTATTTGAGAGAGAGAGAGAGAGAGAGAGAAACAGTATGAGAGGGGAGAAGGTCAGAGGGAGAAGCAGGCTCCCCACTGAACAGGGAGCCGGATGTGGGACTCGACCCCAGGACTCCGGGATCATGACTTGAGCCGAAGGCAGTCGCTTAACCAACTGAGCCACCCACGCGCCCAGGAGGTTGAATATTCTTAAGAAAAAAAAAAGTCAAAAGGGTCAGAAGACTTAAGAGAAGGCAAAAAAGAAACAGAAGATGAGCATCTTTACTCTCCTGCCAGGTTCCCTGGATCAAAAGATGGTTCTCTGACAGAGTTGGCTTATGAGTAGATTTTCTCACACATAGGCTCTTGTTCCTTTTACCATCCTGTTTGGGAATCAGGAGACCTTTAGCTTGAGCCTGAAAAAATTTCTGAAATAATTATTCACCTCCATCTGCGCCCCATTTAGTTCTATCTCATGGACTGTAAAAGGAAAAACAGCATTTCTCCTGGCAATCTCTCTTGATGACGGCGGAATTTCCCGAACCAACTAGAATCCTTTGTGTTGCAGCCAAATGAGAAAAGAGAGAGAGAAGGCAGGAGAATTGGGAATGGCACTGGGAATGATGACTTTCCTAGTCAGGAGTTTGGAGTCCTTGTCTCATTAACTCAGCATGAGCCTGCACAAGGTCAAACAAACAATCTCAGTCTCTAAGTTTTTCAGTCTCTAAGGTGAACACAGTACTCTACATACCTTGAGGGTGGTCCTCGTAAGGCCTCATATGTAAGATAAAGTCTGAAGCAGAAAATTTGCTGTCCTAGGTCAGGGGCTGTACGGTCCAGGTCTTGCTTTCAGTTTTCACTGTCCAGATAATTTAAGATTTGGGCTCTGACAAAGAATTATTATTATTATTATTTTTAGATTTGTTTATTTGAGAGCAAGCAAGCGAGGGGTGGGAGGGCAGAGGGTGAGAGAATCTTAAACCGAAACCGCCCTAAGCAGAGAGGCCCACGCTGGGGCTCCCTGGGGCTCAGTCCCACAACCCTGAGATCAGGTCCAGAGCCTAAACCAAGAGTCCCATGCTTAACCCACTGCGCCAGCCAGATTTCCCCGAAGAATTATTTTGTTCCTTTCTTTCTTTTCTGTTTTAAGGTTCAAAGCGTTAACGCAACTGCTGGAATAGACAGACTTCTTTAAATGTTATTTATTTAGCAATTTTTGTTTCTTCCTTTCCACAGTCACAATCCCGGAAAAGGAAAAACGGCCAAAAGACAGAGCAATGAGGACAATCACTTCTGCTTCTGATTGCATTTTGAAATAATATTATTTGAAAGAACCAAATTGATTCATTTATTAGTATTAAAATAAAAGCTCTTCAGCCTTGATTACACTACAGCGACAGCATGCAAAAACCTTCCGCTAGGCGGAGGGCGTGTATGCAAATGAGGGATGCTGATTCTGCTTTTCCATTGGTTAGTTGAAAGTAGCCAATGGGAGGCTTGCAAACAGCCTACCTCCCGGTAGTATAAATATTTCTCTCGCGCTCGCTCTTGCTTTATACTGCTTGTTTTTTTTCTGAAGGCGTTTGCTTTCTACACCATTATCCATGTCAGGTCGCGGCAAACAAGGCGGTAAGGCTCGCGCCAAGGCCAAGACGCGCTCGTCGCGGGCCGGCCTGCAGTTCCCGGTGGGCCGCGTCCACCGCCTGCTCCGCAAGGGCAACTACTCGGAGCGGGTCGGGGCCGGCGCGCCCGTGTACCTGGCGGCCGTGCTCGAGTACCTGACGGCCGAGATCCTGGAGCTGGCGGGCAACGCGGCGCGCGACAACAAGAAGACGCGCATCATCCCGCGCCACCTGCAGCTGGCCATCCGCAACGACGAGGAGCTCAACAAGCTGCTGGGCCGCGTGACCATCGCGCAGGGCGGCGTCCTGCCCAACATCCAGGCCGTGCTGCTGCCCAAGAAGACCGAGAGCCACCACAAGGCCAAGGGGAAGTGAAATGCTGGCCGTATTTTCTTAACATGGGTTTTTTCCTAATCAAGAGTTAACCTAACAACTTGCAAAGGCTCTTTTAAGAGCCACCCACCTTTTCCACCGAAAGAGCTGTCCTGCTTTGAACTATTACGAGCGCTTAAAAACATGAAATGTCACAACCCCCAGAAAGCTTTGCCCCCCCCCCCCATAAAATCAGTAACAATTAGCTTTAAGGTAAAAGCCACACGTGAGTTTAGTGCAAGTGTGGCTAACGGTATTCACCGTATTTGGCCATATGAGGTGGGCTACTTTCTAGTCAGGCAGAAAGGGTTATAGTCTATAGGTAAGTTTGCAAGTTTATCGCAAGGACAGCTTCATACTTTGCAAAATGAAAATAGCGTTGGGATCCTAACATTTTATGGTAAAGATAATACCCACATTCTCCATCTAGATCCAAGGTGATGAAAACGCACATTTGCTTAAGCAAATGAGAGTAAGTTACAGGTCCTTGATAATTTCATGCTTGCGAATAAAGACCATTTTCCTAATTCACAATATTTGTGCCACACCCAGAATTTCGTTTTAGATGCAGCCCATTTATTTTCCTAAACACCTGCAAATTATCTTGAGGATTTCTCTTTAAAAAAAAGATACATTGGAAATTCCTATGTTGCTTTGCGTGATTACCGTACATTTCAAAATATCTGAAGCTCGGTGCAAGAATTTTGTGCACCGTGGATCTAAGAAGGGAAAGGGTAAACAAATGACGTCAGAGTAGCTACAGTGAAGGGCAGGGTTTAGTATTCATTCACCAACCCGAAAGCAACTCTTAATCCGGGCACCTGACGGAGCTGGGCCAATCCGGGGAGGGCGCGGGAATTTTTGAATATTCTTGGGCCCAATGGTTGTTGGTCTGGCTGTATAAAAGCAGGAGGGCTGTTTGCCTTTTACCGGCTTCGGTGAAGACACACTCAGTTCGCCTCTGAGATGGCTCGCACGAAGCAGACGGCCCGCAAGTCGACCGGCGGCAAGGCCCCGCGCAAGCAGCTGGCCACCAAGGCGGCCCGCAAGAGCGCGCCGGCCACCGGCGGCGTCAAGAAGCCGCACCGCTACCGGCCCGGCACGGTGGCCCTGCGCGAGATCCGGCGCTACCAGAAGTCCACCGAGCTGCTGATCCGCAAGCTGCCGTTCCAGCGGCTGGTGCGCGAGATCGCGCAGGACTTCAAGACCGACCTGCGCTTCCAGAGCTCGGCCGTGATGGCCCTGCAGGAGGCGTGCGAGGCCTACCTGGTGGGGCTCTTCGAGGACACCAACCTGTGCGCCATCCACGCCAAGCGCGTCACCATCATGCCCAAGGACATCCAGCTGGCGCGCCGCATCCGCGGGGAGAGGGCCTAAATGTGATTTCCCGGTTCTGTGCCAACTTTAAACCCAAAGGCTCTTTTCAGAGCCACCCAATTAGTTTCAGCAAAAGTGGCTGTGATGCTTTCGGTTCTCTTGACTGTGACCCTGACCCTGCTAAGTTGCGAATCCGTGCTAACCCTGGTCATTGGCATATTCTACGACGGACTGATCAGGTTCAACAGTGGAATAGTAGACTTACGATGAATTTTCCTAGATAAGCGAGAGTAGCTTGACAGTAACGAGCCATTTTAAACGGTAGCAGAGAACATGTACTTCGTTTTGTTTCGATCCTGTTAATGATCTTCGCATTTTAAACAAAGCCCATAATTTTTACCTCTTAACACAAGTTATTCATTCGTGATTTGGAATCAGTTTCAAATGAGTATAAATATTCCCGGTTTTTTAGTAGTTTCTTAACAAAATTTCCTCACCCCAATAGAGTTTTCTTGTAACATTTCTTCATCTTTTTTAATTTTTTTTAAGATAACCTGAAGTTTCAGCTGAACTAAGAACTTAGCTGCTTGCACATTTCTTTATAGCTAACTATCCATTCTTAATTGTTAATAAGTTGATGAGGCATAGCTTAATACGTTATTTCTTATTTGTGGCCCTGCTTGTGATTGGTTGCATGGCTTTATTTCTTCTAGGCCTAGGCAATAATTTTTTCACTTGGCTGTAGTTTCTATTCAAGTTTAGGAGTCCTAATTATTTTTCTTTTGTTGATCTTGCTCTCTGGAGTTGCTGGTTCAGTACTGGAAGGAAGATGACCCACATAAGAATAGTGGCTGATTCTTGATGAAAAATAACATTTGCTTTAAAATTTAATTTCCATATTTCACCCAATATTTTTTTTAAAAAACAATTATTTTAAAAATTATATAGCATTTACACTATACTTACAAACTACCTTTAACAGAACAATACCTGAATGCTGTAGAACACGACAGCAGCAAATTCCAAAGGCTTCGTGTGTTTTGTTTTCCACACCTTAGGTCCTAATATCTAAAATTTTGGGCCTCCGTCTGAGATGTGAGTTGATGTACCATATTAAATCATGCGGACAACTCAACAAGAAATATAAAACACAGATTAAACTTGAATTGTGTGGTTTCCTTGGATTTATTTACATTCCAGGATTTTAATAAAGCAACTTTTGTTTTACAACATATTTGCATTCTTAAAACGATAAGGTTGGACATTTCTGTGTGTGTGTGTGTGTGTGTGTGTGTGTCACTGTGTTGTATTTTCAACATTTAATTTCTCCAGACTCTCATACGTACCACTCCGGCACAGACCTTTGCTACCCATATAAAGGGTCTGTCAGAGGCACCCAATACCCTTGGCTTGAACCAGGGTGACTTTGCTCTCCAGCTCTGGGTCCCAGCTGAAGTCCAAGTATCTTGGTTTTTCTTATAACTGTGCTGGCTCTTATGTTCATTGTTTGGCTTTTCCCCCTAATATTTTATGTAGCTGCTAGAAAAAGGGTGTTTTAGGTACAGGGCCTGAGAGCATAACTTTAACAAAAGCAAAAGTACCCATTGCTGTCTGAGAGTTAGAAGGCCAGAGGACAGTGGCTCAGACTATGCTCCTGCCCCACCACCTGCGCCCCCTTTCCCAGCCAAGGATCAAGGATTTGGCTTTAAGTCTTCATTTACTTGAGTTCCTCAAAGAATAATTGTCCAGTGTCTAGGAAAGTAAGGTTTGAACCATCTTAGAATTCATAACCTTGTTAATCTTTCTCCAGGAGCCTCTGGAAGCAGGCAGCACAGAGCGGCACTTGGATGATAGATGGCCAGTGTTCCAATTCAGTTTTACTACTTACTGTGACCTCTTACACAAATTGATTTCTCCATCATCAGAAAAATGGGGGTAATACTACCCACCTCAGAACTGTTATTGGGATACTATGAGTTGATTTTTGGACACAGAGCATTGTATAAATGCTATGAATTATCCTGAGCTGTGTATTATTTTCTCTTATATTCTAAGATTTTTTTAAATTGAAATAAAAATGCAAACTTTAACTTCTAAAGTTCCTTTTCATTTGGCATTACTTTGTTGCTCAGTTTGGAAATGAAACTTCAGCAGGTATTTGAAAACCAAAGAATGGAAGAAATTCGCATTTGTAAAAGAAAATTTACTGAACATATTGGACCAAAGGTTGTGCCAGCATTTTAATATTAATGCATTAAGCCTTTATTACTTTATATTAGCGGTGTTCATGCTGGAGAAAAAAAGGAGTGTTTAACTTACAGATTGTATCTTTTAAACGGTTGTTGCAAGGTCCTCGGTCACAGAGAGTTTTTCTTTCCCAGGCACCACAAAGTGATATTACCACACAGGCTAAAGTTTACAGCTAATGCTGTTGGTGTCTAAAACCACACTTTTGGTTTGTTACAGACTTTCAGAAAAGAGGAGGAAGGCAAGGTCAGGGTGCATTTTTCAGACTAAAAAATTTAGTAGTAGCCCTTCCAGTCACCCCAGGAGAAGTGACTTACTAATCAATGAGTGTTTTAGGGAGACTTAACACAACAGTGGGAAGTCAGTTTAGAGATTTGAACTGCATTCCAGGCTTGACTGAAGGACAGAGTCAGTGCACCCTGGGAGAGGGCACAAAGGAATATTTTTCAGACAACCATATTTAACATGTCATGTAGGAACAGAGTCTTGTCAATCAATAGATGAATGGCTAAAGAATATACGGTATATAGAGTTGACCCTTGAACAATGCAGGTTTGAACTGCATGAGCCCATTTATTTATAGATTTTTTTCAATAAATATGATACACTACTGTAAATGTTTTTCTCTTCCTTATGATTTTCTTGATATTTTCTTTTCTTTAGTTTGCTTTATAATAAGAATAGAGTATATAATACATAGGACGTACAAAATATGTGTTAATAGACTATGTCATCAGTAAGGCTTCTAATTAACAGTACGGTATTGGTAGTTTTGAGGGGGGATTCAAAAGTTATACGTGGATTTTCAACTGTGTAGCAGCCAGTACCCCAACCCCTGAGTTTTTCAAGGGCCAACTGTATAACAATGGAATATTAGCATAAAAAAAGGATGAAATCTTATTATTCATATGGATGGACTTAGAGGGTATATGCTAAATGAACTAAGTCAGACAGAGAAAGTCAAATACCATATGATTTCACTGAATACGTGCAATCTAAAAAAACAAAACAGACCAATAGAACAAATTAGTAGTTGTGGGGGTGGGGGGTAAGAAACAAAATAGGTGAAGGAGATTAAGAGACACAAACTTCCAGTTATACAATAAATAAGTCACAGGGATGCAAAGTACAGCATAGGGAATCTAATCATATTATAATGACTTTGTATGGTAACAGGTGGTAACACATCACGATGAGCACTTCATAATGTGTAGAACCATCAATTCACTATGTTGTACACCTAAAACTAGGATAATATTGTATGTTAGCTATACTGCAATTGAAGACAAACCCAAAAAACCAGAAATCATCAATGTCTTGTATTTTATTAAATGTGATTTAAAACAAACAAACAGGGGCACCTTGGGTGGCTCAGTCGTTAAGCGTCTGCCTTCAGCTCAGGTCATGAGCCCAGGGTCCTGGGATCGAGCCCCGCATCAGGCTCCCTGCTCAGCGGGAAGTCGGCTTCTCCCTCTCCCACTCCCCCTGCTTGTGTTCCCTCTCTCACTGTGTCTCTCTCTGTCAAATTAATAAATCAAATCTTAAAAAAAAAATAAAAAATGAAACAAACAACAACAACAAAAACTTTCACTATAACATATGTATCTGTGTTGTCTATATTGTATTCAGAGTAAAAGCTTGAAAATGAGTGTTCAGGGCAATCTCCCAACTCCAGACAGATTCTTTAAGTAATAATACCAGCTAAAATCCAGGCACATTTATGTAGGACTTCTTTGTGCCAATCTCTGTTCTAGGCCTTTGCTTACATTAGTTAATTTAAATCTTCACAAAAGCTACATGAGCAGTATCATCACCCCACCTTTACAAATGAAGAAAACTAAGGCAAGGTTACAAGGTCACACAGCTGTAAAAGAGGGAAAATAACTTTCCCCTACCCTTCTGAGTTCTTAGCTGAGAACCCTGTAATAAAAGAGTAATGAGAGTGCTCGCTTCGGCAGCACATATACTAAAAGAGTAATGAGAAAAACCAACAGCAGTTTAATAACACGTATACGTACTGTATACATGAGAGATACTCTGAAGAACTGAGTAAAACTCCCAGGAAAGGCCCAAGCCACCGCCTTAAATACCGTCTTCAGCTAAAAGATGTTGGTGTGCGAGCGGAGTGCACAGGGAGCCGGGGATGGGTTACCGGGAAAAGGGAAACAAGGTTGTGATGCAGAATTAAGTTCGGGCCTTCTCCATGGACAAAACTGTCTGGTGATTTAATCATCCTTCTCTTTCTGGTACTGAGAGGGAGACACTTACAGATTGAGATCTCCTTTATAAATGTAACATGTCCCTTAAGACAGAGTTCTACTCTGATTTTAGAGATTCTCCTGTGTCTGGTGTTTCTTAAAAATGACTTGCTCAAAAACAGTCCTTATGCCAAAGAGGCATATTTTGGGGTGGCATATTCTGCTACCCTTCCTACCAAAGTGGCCTGTGTGGAGACGGTTTGTCCTGAACTCCTACACTCCTCTTTTGGGGTGGCATCTGAGGGTTCCCTTCCCAGCTAACAATCATTCCCTTCTGAAGGAGAACGACAGTACTTCGTGGTAAACTAGAAGCCCCTACTCACTTTCTCACAGAAAGAGCTGCAGCTACAAATCCCACGGCGCTCAGGAAAATCCAGAGCTTGCGCGGGAAACCGCCCTGCTCCCTGCCCCACAGTCATTGGAGATCGGCCCGGAGAGGGGCGGAGCCCGGGGTGGGGCAGCGGGGCCGCGGTTCCCGCGCGCGCTTTCAGTTCTCAACGAGGTCCGGCCTCTGCTTATAATTTCTCCTGCCGGAGGAGCAGGGCCATTTCTGTGTCGAACTCGCACAGAGCTTCCGAGGAGCCATGTCTGGCCGCGGCAAAGGCGGGAAGGGCCTGGGCAAGGGCGGCGCCAAGCGCCACCGCAAGGTGCTGCGCGACAACATCCAGGGCATCACCAAGCCCGCCATCCGGCGGCTGGCCCGGCGCGGCGGCGTCAAGCGCATCTCCGGCCTCATCTACGAGGAGACCCGCGGGGTGCTCAAGGTGTTCCTGGAGAACGTGATCCGGGACGCCGTCACCTACACGGAGCACGCCAAGCGCAAGACGGTTACGGCCATGGACGTGGTCTACGCGCTCAAGCGCCAGGGCCGCACCCTCTACGGCTTCGGGGGCTAATAAGCCTCGTTTTCGTTTGTTTTCCAAAGTTCTCTAAAGGCCCTTTTTAGGGCCGCCCACCGTCTCTCCAAAAGGGCTGTACGCGCCTTGTGTCCCGGTTTTGTGGGGTTTATGGAGCCTTCATTTTATGTGGTTACTTGCCTTTTCGTTGTAAACACAAGCCTGACAACACCGCGGCCGCCGGATGCTCGCTCAGCCAATGAGTGGGCTGCGTAGTGCGCGGCGCGGGTTTTGCGCCAATCAGGAGTAGGGGCTGTCAGGGGGCGGAGCCAGTGGGGAGGTGCCGGGCCTCCCGCGGACGGAGCGGGCCTGACCCCCCCCCCAGCTCCTCCCCGCCAGGCCCCCGCAAGGCCCCCGCCTGCCCCTTCTCGCCTGTGGAGGCAGTAAGTACAAGCCAGGCTCCCTGCCAGGAAGCGCCCGGGTGGCGCCAGTGCTTCCGTTGCCGCCCAGCTCTCGTTCGCTTTAGGAGGGCTCGGGCCGGTAAATAACGTGTTTGCGAGGGGCCGCTGCCCGCCTCCCAGGAAGCCAGGTGGGCTGAAAGGCACTGCGCGGAGACGCCGAACGTCCGGTCCCCGCTGTGTGCCCCTCAGTGGCGTCAGGAGAGAGGAGCAGGCCCTGCAGTGGGCGCCTCTGAGGCTGCCGCCGGGGGCCTTGGGCTTCGCGCTGCCTCGGCCTTTCCAGTGTCGGGCTCGGGTACCCGGCCGCCCCGAAGCGCCTGGCCAAGCAGAGTTTGGAAACTTCCCACTTAGTAGGCGAAGGGGGTCTGTTCGGATTCAGGCCTCGGGTTGCTCGAGACCCTAAAGCCTCTGGCAGGGCCCGGGCTTGAGGGAGGCGCGTCCTCCTTTGAGGCCACTGGCTCTGGCGACAGTCTTGCATCCTCCGCCCAGCTCCTCTCCCTCTTTCTTCTGCCTCCTGCAAATTGTAAGGTTTGGGGTTTTTGAATGAAGCTTTCACACATGGTCACAAAGAGTTTTGAGGGGCGCCTGGGTGGCTCAGTGGGTTAAGTGTCTGCCTTCGGCTCACGTCGGGCTCTGCTCAGCTGGAGCCTGCTTCTCCCTCTCCCTATGCCTGCAGCTCCCTCTGCTCTCTGTCAGACAAAATAAAAAAAAAAAAACCCACAAACACAGTAAGTGTTTTGAAGTATGTTCCCAAATTGATAAATCGGACAACTGAATAGCTTTGATTTAATGCTTGAATATATTGACGGCTGCTTCGGAGAGCAAGCTACTCTGCTAACATGTCTCTCTGACACAAGAGGATACTGAATAGGCAGTTGGGAAAGATTCTCGAGTTCAAGTGAGAGGTCTGCTTTGGTTTAGAGGAAAATTGGGGAATCACCAACCTATAAATGGTGAGTCTGGATCAGATCAGTAAGAATTTAAATACCACTTATTGCAATACACTGTAATAATAAATAGAAATGTAAATAACGTAGAATGATTATAATAACATATATATTATATGTGTAATATGTATAATATAAAAATAATTAGTGGAAATGTAAATAGAAATGTAAATTGTCACTGGAAGGACTGGATATTATCTATACCCATGAAATCGTGTCTTACTTCAGGCTGCTATAATGAAAATGCCACAGACTGTGGCTTAAACAACAAACTGATTTCTCAAGGCTGGGAGTCCAAGATCAAGGTACTGGCAGATTCAGACAGGACAGTTTCAGACAGGATTTGGTGTCT